TTAATGAAGCCTATGGGGAAATAACAAGTCCTCACTTTCATTGTTTACCATACATGCATGTGAATACAGCAGATAAACTTTTTGAACTTGAAATAAAATAAACATCTTTTATGAAATGAAAACAAAAAGTCATATTCAATATTACCAAATTTATTAACCATTTTAAGTCAGGCAGACATACTTTAAAAAATAACAAACATTTTATTCCTTAACATCTGTAATAATGAAGTATTTAGGACAAACAATATAGGAAAGCTTTCAAGGGCAAATAATTTTACTGTCTATGAGAATCAGATAATCAGTCTTTGACAATGTAAACCAGTCACAAAGTACTTATCTCCCCTTGGTCAATTGTTTGTATTTAATTCAACCAATCAGATGTTGTTATTTTAGACTGGTACCCTTAATTGTTTCAAGCATGTAAAAGAGACCTTATTTTATCATGTTTAGTTACTGTTTTGGATATTTCCTGATGTTTTTACAATATTTACCTCCCTTGTTTGAAACTGGCAGTCATTTTGAGGATCATTATTCTATCAGGTATAATTACCAAAAAAACTATGAATAAAGCAAAAATAAACAGGTGATTCAGGTCAATTGCTGAATTCTTTTGTATATGTGAAGGAAAATATCGTTGTAGCACCGCTATATAAAAGATTTTGATCAGGTTTCATGAACATAATGAAAATGATTTTTATCTTATCAAATGATATTTTTTATCTTATCTTGAGCGGAATGACCCACAAAACAGCAGCCAGGGGAGTTTATACATGCTTTCAGAAAATATTTTATGTCAAATAATCATTAAACATCCCTCTTAAGACTACATTTTTTTTCATTTGTATTATTTTCCCCCTCAAAAATATTACAGAAACCATTAAAGTAATATGTTTTGGCAAGTGATATTGTTTATAAATAGTTAGACTTTTATAAACAATAATTGTATTGCAATAGTTCAATTGTCACCTAAAGTGTACCTAGCCAAGTAAAGCCATCAGAGGAATGCCCTCTGAATATGCTAAAACATGGTCAGTAAATAAATCGACCAGTATTCATATCATCTAAATAAAGGTATAATGTAGAGGTGATATGATGAAATGAAAATGCAACTAAATGCAATGAAATAAATATAGAGACAAAGTTAACAATTCCATTTTTCTTAAGCTGACAAAACCACAGTAACAACAAAATAACTTCTGTAGTGCAACTCCCTTTGGGAGACAAAAGATTTTAGTTTTTACCAAGGTGTTATACTAAAGACTGTGAGGTTATATTTTCAATATTGTTTTGGAGAGAAATGCTATGATTGCTGTAAAGAAATAATTGTTCTACAGGGGACTGCTTTGCAAATGTTTCACAGTATATAGTGTTTTTTCCCCTTTTTTTCTTAAAGTTTAAACTTAAAATCTCAACAAAAAAAAATAAAAAAAAATGCAGTTCCGCACAACTTCTTTTCATGTAGATTTATCCTTAGCACTTGTATTTACATTTATATCAAACATGCAGTAATGTTTGATGAAAAACAATAATAAAACATGGTATGTACAATGAATAACAGTAGATACAAGAGCTGTCAGAAGGACAGCGCGCTCGACTTTTTTAGTGCTTGCCTATAAAACAAAACTTTGACAGTTAAGGGCACACAAGACTTTAACTAGGGATTTCTAAGTACAAATCAAGAAACATTTTCACAGAGTTATCTTCTCTTGCTTACAGATAGGTCTCATGATGGCACATAAGAACTCCAACTTCCAAAGTAATATCTCAAATGGTTAGGTCAACAAGTGGACAAGAATGAAAATTTTAACTGAGTTTCTAAGTTCAAAAAGGGCCATAATTCAAATAAAATCCTTAACAGAATTACCTTCTCCTGCCCATGTTTGGGACCATGATGGTAAACAAGTATTCCAACTTTCAATTTAATATCTCAACCAGTTCAGTCAAAAAGTTGACTGGTACAAAAAACTTAACCAAGATTCTAAGTCGATAAAAGGCCTTAATTTTTAAAACAAATCCCTGACAGAGTTACCTTCTCTTGCGTACAGATGGGGGTAATGATGTGAAATAGCATTAAAAGTTTTCAAAGCAATATCTCAAAGGGTTAAGGCAATAAGTGGATTTTACCCATATTCAATGTATTTTCTAAGTCAAAAAGGGGCATAATTCTGTCAAAAACCTTGACAGAGTTATGTCCTCTTGTCTGTTGATGAAGGTCGTGATGGTAAATCAAGTATGGTCAGTTTCAAAGCAATACCTCCAATGGTTTTGAAATAAAGTGAGGTGGTACAAAAAACTTAACCAAGCTCAATACACTTTCTAAGTCAAAAAAGGGCCATAATTCTGTCAAAAACCTTGACAGAGTTATGTACTCTTGTCTGTAGATGGAGGTTATGATGGTGAACAAGTATGGTAAGTTTCAAAGCCATACTTGTAATACTTCTGAAATAAAGTGGGGTGGTACGAAAAACTTAACCAAGGTGTGACGCCAACGCCGACGCTAACGCCGACGCCGGGGCGAGTAGGATAGCTCCCCTTTTCATAGAAAAGTCGAGCTAAAAATATGATCAACATTTACAATTACCCTTTGTACACTGAAAGTTTTAAATCAATCAAATAAGAAAGCTATTAAAAATACTTTGAACCAATTATTAACATAATCTTTAAACAATTCTCCTTTTCAACAGGCCAAAATAAATTAAAATCCTCCCTAAAAATGCTTTTACCCTGCTTAACTTCTATTATAGACTGACTTGTTCAGTTTACTATTAGAATTTATCCCGAGTTAATTTTAAAATGTATAAAGCAATATTTTCTGTGTTTTTTTTTGTTGTTGTTGTAGTTGTTTTTTTCCATAACATATATAAATTGCACAACTATATTGTTTCCATAATTCTATACTTAATTCTTGACAGAGTTTTAACATAGAATATCTCTATTATTTAACAAACATATATATTGTATCTTAACAAAATAAAATGTTCTGGAACAAAACTTTTTTGCTATTTCAGTATGGTGTTTACCGTTTCGGAACCATTTTATGCATGCATAATTGACTTCAGGAAATATACAAATTTATGTTTTTTATGAAGTATTCTCTTTCAAAATTCAAACAATAATTCTGTAAATTATTGGCAGCAGATATATAGCTTTATACTCTTTAAATGATTTCAAAATTTAACATCAGCTAAACACAGAACCTTATCAGACTATGCAGGAAAATCTTTAAATGTAACTAGAATGCAGCTGAATAAATGCTCTTTCATATAAATTGTGTTTAATCTAGCTAAGATCATTTGCAAAAATTTCCTATGGCAAGCATGCATCATTATTATAGAAAAAGAATTTTACCCAAAAAATTTTTTCCAGATTTTAAAGTGGATTGGTCTACAATGGGCACATTTTCTATAAGTATTTCAAATATTGATAAAAACAATAAAAGTGTATTATTTGGATATTCTTATGACACATTTTTGAAAACAAAATATTGATAGAGTACTAAAAATAATTAAGTATGAACATAATATAATATGATGAATAATAATATTTTGTTTAGAACAATTTTTTATCTGCTATATAAATATATGTAATATTGGATCATGTATGTAACATTTATCAACAACATCCATATATATGATTCTTTCGAGGTTTGTTTTCATGCTGTTTTGATGAATGATACTAAATAATACCTGCAAAAGCACAATTTATATGGTATAACAGATCTTATATTATAGACCAATTCACTTTAACAGTTTCAAAATAAACTGAAAACATCATTTCATGTTTTAGATTTAACCTTAACAATTTAAAATCATTGTAACACACATTGTAACACACTTTGTTACATAAAAGTAATAAAATTATCAAGTAAAGGATATGTAATCTTACATACATATTTTATAAATGTGTCAAATTTATGCTGATTTATGTTGTGTAGTCAATACACACAGTTCTTGTGTAGAACATATTACACATATGCAATCTTGGAATCAATACATTCACTAACTATTCAAAAAACCAAACAACATGTGTGCTCATAAAATAATAACACTAAATAAATATCAGGAGCTAAAAATAACTGGATACAGTAACTGCATTATGACAACATACATATGAGCCACGTCACGACAAAACCAACATAGTGCGTTTGCGACCAGCATGGATCCAGACCAGCCTGCGCATTCCCGCAGTCTGATCACGATCCATGCTGTTCGCTATCAGTTTCTCTACTTGTAATAGAGTTGGTAAGCGAACAGCATAGATCCTGATCAGACTGTGTGGATACGCAGGCTGGTCTGGATCCATGCTAGTCGCAAATGCACTATGTTGGTTTTGTCGTGACGCGGCTCATATATGTGTCATGCATAAGAAATATGAGTTATAAAATCAAAATATACACACACATTTAGTATGTGTAAATAACTCAAATTAACAATTATCTCGCATTAGTCTAGTGTACAAATGATAATCTTACCAAATGTACATGACAAAAAGCTAACAATTTACAACAATCCAGTTTTTAAAACTTGAGGTAGAATTTACAGCACTTAATCTCTTAAATATCTAATATAAATAAATCAAAATATCTTTAAATAGCATGTAATATCATAAAAGGTGAGACACTGCCCAAAAAAAGACCCTTAAAAACAGCACATGCTAAAAAGCACTTTATCAAATTTTAAAATACCACACCATATAAAAGGAAATATTTGTATACTTGATGAGAAAATAATTTCTCAAATAGTTTACAGTTTTTTTCACAAAAAAATTAAAAATTCTAAAAAGCAATTACAGATGGAAGCAAAAAAAAAAACACCACTTGCACCATTTTGATTAAAAAAAAAAAATAAAATATTGTGCTAAAGGGAAATAAATAGCAAGTTTAAAACAAGATAATTTAAAAGATGTTTTTTAAAAGTAAGCATGTAACAAAAATGTTTGAATATTTCCATTTCAAACTTATGAAAATTTTACAAATGAAAGTGCCTCTGCCCTTAACTAACAAATGCCCTATGAGGATACACACTAACAGCTACTGTTTCTTTACAGATTTCATCCTTTAAGGTGAAGCACACTGAAACTATGAATCACTAGATAGGCTCTGCTTTTTATCTTCCGACTGCGCATCCAACATTTCAGTCAACAGGTCACAGAAGGGCACTACTCCTTCTTTTTTCACACTTTGAAAGTACAAAGTGGCCCTCTCTGCGGCCCGTCTAATATGGGTCAGTAATAAGATAAGGGACGGCACATGACGCAAATTGTCTGGATGATATTTTTGTGCAATGTCAACAGAACTGTCCAGAATATTTTGTCGTATTTCTTGTAATTTGCTGAAACTTGCCAATTTTCTTACCTCTGAAAAGAACAACCAAAAACAACGTAAGATAAAACCCCTAAATATTACAATATTGTACATCTTATTAATTTTTAAAAACATTTAGACAGCTTTAACCTAGCCGGCAACACTTAATAAATACTTAGAAACTAGCATTATCGTACTATAACAATTTTTCAATTTATTATATACTTATAAATAAAATATATTGAGAAATATTAATTAAATAAAATGCGTATTTTCATTTTCCGTATTTTCACTATAAAAATTTATTTTTCACTGCAGTGAAACATATTTTCCGTAGTTTCACTGGTGTCTTGCCAGACTACTTTCTAGTAAATTCTGCCAATACGCAAAATTTAAGGGAAATTCTTTCAAATTTTAATGTCAAAAAGAGAAATGTATATAATAAACAGAAAATTCAAGTTTTTTTCTATCAATACATTATTTATTTTCATCTTGTGGCATGAAAATTATCATATTTCACTCGTGGCTATCGCAACTCATGAAATATTTATTTTCATACCACTCGATGAAAATAAATCATGTATTAATAGAAAAAACTTGAATATCCTCTATATCTTGTATGCTGAGAGTGAATTTTCTCATATAGTAACATTAACACCTTAAGACACTGACATTACCACAAAGTGTACTGTTCTACTGTTTCTTGAATGAAAAAAAAAAAAAAAAAAATACTGACCAGCATTGGCAAGAACTGTTGCCTGTAGCAACAAGAGCTCTTCATTACGAAGATTATATTGCACAAGTTGATCTGAGATTGCTGCAACGTGCTCCAAAACATCAGCCATTCCCAGTATTGACCAGTACGGTCTGTAAATAAATAATAATACAAAATTTAATAAAAATGTAAATTTGAATTGATAAAGTGAAGGCACAGTGGCATAAAGCTACAGCATAAGACTCCAAATCCTGAGATTGTGTGTTCAAATACAACCTGTGGTGAGATTTGCTGCCCATTTCCACACTGGACAAATTACTGGTTTTGACACCCAAGAAAATGTTACTAATGAAAGTGCCTCTGTCCTTTGCACACAAATGCAAAGTGGTCTACTGGCAGTTGACCAAAGAAAACTTAAAAGCGTATTCCTACGGTAAGTCCCTAAAATGGGGCCATGAAGTTAATGAGAAAACAAACAAACTAATATCTTCATCTCTAAACTGCTAGTTTCATGCAATTATTAAAGTACTTTGTATGTATCATCACCATATCTTATTACCTTTCAGATAATTTTGTTTCTACTGACAAAATGCAGAAATTGCAATTGGTTAATAGTATGAAACCCAACTTAAAACCATCTCATTGCATAATATAGACTAGCCTAGTAAACACAAATTAGTTTATAATAGAATCACTTAATAAATTAATGCAAACAAATAGATTGAAAACAATACAAAAGTTTCAATCAATATTTTTATCTTATGTAATGACCTTTAAACAACAAATAAACATCAACTTTTTCAAAAGTTGGATTGATGTAGGAAATACAAACCTTTCCAAGATTAGATCTGGTGCTATGACAAGCCTGCGACCACAGTGTTCCATGGATCTAAAGGCACAATTAAGTAAGAGCAATTCCATCCAACAGCATTCTATAAGATGAACTTGATCCCCTAAACTTAACTCTGAGTAGCCTAAAATATATTGAGACATTGTAGTTAATAAGGAATGTCTATACACTACGTGTTAAATACCATATCAGAAAACACATTATATAAACAAAAAGCATTTAGCATTTCAATGATGGGCTTTCATTGTTCTTAAATAAAGACAAGTCTTCAAAGATTAAGATTCCAGACTGGAGTGTTACAATATTCTAGATTTAATATGTTAAAGAAAGAAAAACAGTCTATATAAGAAGGCCTAAGAAATCTTGTATTTCCCTTTCGGGGAAACTATTATTAATTCACTCACAATACTGCTTCACCTACCTGGAACATTTTTTGCCCAGTTGATCAAAAAGACAAGTTCTTTCTCTGCAAGTTTAACAAAAGAAGTGAGCAAATGCGTGCGTGTGGGTGGCATGCTGTGATTATGATAACTTTCCAGATTCGGTAAATCTGCTTTACTCAATGCTTCAATGATCAGTGTAGTACGAGACTTTCTTGAATTCTGAAATAAAACATTTACTGGTCAGAAATAATTATATAAACAGTAATAGTTTATTTCAGCTTGATTCTGATTGAAAGTTTTGACCTTACTTAAAGCACTCTGGAGTCTGATAACTCAGAATTACAAGTGCTGATTGAAGGAAGAAATGTGGCTGTTACCATAGTAGGGACTTCAACCCAAATCCCTATGGCCACACATTCTTTTCTATAATTTCTAACAATTTTCCATATTTTTTTTTTTAAACTTAATAACTTAAAGATAGATGAAAAAATTTAATGAAATGCCAACAAATTTTATGTTTAATTCACACTAAACCATATTGAAAGTACAATGCAGTATGCAATTTCAAAGTAACTGTCCACTGTATTGTAAAGTCTTAAGGACCTATTCTTTGAATAATTCCGAGCTAAAAATATCTATAAAGGTCATGACATTTCACTCTCCAAAATTTATAATAACAATTCAATATCAAAGAAAGTAATATAAATTCTATGTAAAGTGGTAAGAAACAAATAAAAACAAACCTTGGCTGGTGTTGGACTACTATCTACACCGTTGTTCATACTGTCACCAGAATCTGATCTTGGTCGTTTAGGAGATTTGTTTTGTGAAGCACCTGTCGATTTACGTTCTTTCCTTTGACTTCCTATAATATTATGTTGTTTTGAATGAACAATTCAGGAAAAGCTAATAGGTTTCAACACTTCTGTTCGTACTAAATGTCAATGAACAGACGTTTCCTTGAAAAAACTGATACTGTAAACAAGGGTAAAAATTCTCAATACTTTTTAATTCCAACATTTTTATTCAATACAAAAGTATAATATGTTTTCATTAAAGTTGTACCAATTGCCATTAAAAAGATAAAATAAGTAATATAGTCGCTCTATGGTCTGTAACCTACTTCAATCTCAAGCTCACCCCCCTCCTCCCCCTTTCACAACTGTTGACAATCACAGGAACTTTCATGTAAAGATCAAACCCCAAGCAAAGTAAACACTACCATCCCCAGCTTCCATATTAGGAACTGCCCATTATCAATTTCGGGGATATCAGGATGAAATTTAAAGTTGGTCAGCAAAAAGTATAGAAACCTTGTCAGATTGCACATGCAAGCAGGCTGACCTTGTTCTATACTGGTGGCAAACACTAATCAAATTCCTAAAGGTAAAGTACAGTTAATTAAGATCCTCATATGTCTTAAGGGAGCTGCAGGCAAACCAAACTTTTAACTCAAGAAATATCTACTGGCATTTAAAGAGTGAGGATGCAAATTATGTTTGTATGTTACCTTTGTTCATTCCAACCTCGTAACACTTTCGAAGTCTACATGCCTGACAACTTTTCCGCCTATGTTTGTCAATTGTACATGTGTTTGTGGCAGGGCAAACATAATCTACTGGACCTGAAAATAAATACATTTGTATATACACATGTATATCATTTCATCAAAATATCTTATTTCCTTTCAAAATTTTTTTTTTATATATATTCAATACTCTAAACAAAATGAATCTAACATGTTTTAAAATTACATCATTGTACTAGCGAGTTAACAAATTCTTAAGCAATAAACATTTTATCAGACTGCCAGTAAATGCAGACCGGCCAGGGCTAGGCTTTTAGATTGACGGCATAAATTAGTCATAATTATGAAAACTTGTTACTCAGACTGTTAAGATAACTACAACTTAAAGTACAAGTCAAGATACACACAACAAGTAAAATTGAGTTTAGGCCAGCCAATTTAAATAAGATGCAAGCCCATATTAGGCTGCTCATGTTCATCATATTGTATGAAATTTTTTCCCACTTCTTAAGTAAATATATACAAGAAACATGTAGCGGCCTTATTGAAAATGTGAATAGATCACTATCAATGAACAACTTAATTTAACTACAACTTGAAACATGCATTCCCCCACATTTTACCAACCAAGTGACTGCTGCCAGCTGGGCCCATAGACAAGGGCAAATCTATATTTTCGACACCCCCAAGTAGTGGGGGCATAAAAACTGAACTGAAGATATTTCTAGTTTTGTGTTTTTGATAAAATTTAAGCCATGTCAAGACAAAACCAACATAATGGGTTTGCGGCCAGCATGGATCCAGACCAGTCTGCGCATCCGTGAAGTCTGATCAGGATCTATGCTGTTCGCTATCAGTTTCTCTACTTGCAATAGGGTTTGTAAGTGAACAGCATGGATCCTGATCAGACTGCGGGGATGCGCAGGCTAGTCTTGATCAATGCTGGTCGCAAACCCATTATATGTTGGTTTTGTCATGACATAGCTCATTTGATATTCTATCAGCATAAAAATGGCTATTCAGCACATGTATAATGCGCTCACATATAATTTATTAATCTAATAATCTTTAAATCGAAGCCTTACCTTGAATGCTTCGTTTGAAGAAAGCTTTGCAACCCTCGCAGGACCAAACACCATAATGAAAACCAGAGGCATTATCACTGCAAACCTGGCATAGTTTATTCACATTGCCACCTGAAATGAAGTCCAAAAAGAAGTTTCATCATTTTTCCAAACTCAACTATCCACTGTATTGGAAATAAACATACTTTACAACATACTTAGTATACTAGTTCAGCACTAACCTGTATTAGATTTATTTTTAATTAGCAGCCTGAATAACTGTATGGTACAAGTATATGGTACCACATTGTTGTATTTTTAAAAAAAATTGCAACATATTGTCATTTATTAGAACTAGATAATTGCATTGCATACATGTGTTGACTAAGAACATAAAAAAAATGAAATAATATGTCAATCAATAAGAAACATAAAAAGTGAAATATTATGTCAATGAAGAGAAACATCTGTTCATGATAAATGTAATAAATATATTAAAATAAAATTAACTTGAGACCAGAACAAAATATGATATTTCTGAAGCTCAAAATCCTCCCCGATCACACCCTTTGAATTTTATTTTTACTGTCATTTTAAGTCCTTAAATTTCTTAAACAGACTTGTTAAGCTTCCATTTTGAAACTGCCATATTATCCTTTTCAGGATATAAAGTTTAATATTTCAAGTTGGCCTGCCAACTGTTTAAGAGTCTGGTTAAACTGTACAGAGGGGCAGACTGGCCTGGCTCTATACTGGTGGCAAAAGTTTATGTTACAGCAGGACAATGGTAAAGGGAGTTATAGAATTAACATGTCAAAAGATTGGCTAATTGTGTTCTATACTGTTAGATTTTTAGACAGTACTTTTAGGCCATAAACAGTTGGTTTAGTTGTTCCTAGTTAAAGGCCAAAGAACAGGGCCTATGCAGCATTGGTACATATTAGCATACTGCATATTTATAAAGGTTGACTTTCATTAGATAAGCATTACTGAAGAGTAACTAGCATACTGCATACTCATAAAGGTTCACTTTCATTAGATAAGCATTACTGAAGATTAACTATATACATGTACACTGCTGGAGTAAATTCATTAATTAATTTATTCTTATCTTAATCAATTAGAGAAGTTATGCAGTAGAAAACCAATTACCTTGAGTTATATAGATCGTCTAAGGCATATAACCCATAAAAAAGAAAACTTTGGTTTAAATAGTTTATAACCTCTCAAAAATGAAGAAGATAAAACTTGGTTTATAACATGTCAAAAAAGAAAAAAAACAAAAAAACAACAACCTTGGTTTATATAGGTATATAACCTCTTAAAAAATCTTTAATAACTACAAGTAATAATACAGAATGACATGAGTAAACAAATATTGATTCTGATTCTCTACTATGGAATCACATTAATTACACCATGGAAGTAAAATAATGTTGACCTAAATTTATATTTATTGAAACTAGTTCAGCATTTTTATCAATTATTGTTCTCTGTTTTCATTCTCAAAGTTTTACTGTTTCCTTATAGGAAAGCTTTCAAAATTAATCACTCAAGACATTATTATGACCTTCAGAAAAATCTAATACAGAAACCTTGTAATAGTAGTATTAAAGTTAAAAGCAGTTTTCAGAAATTAAGAAAAAGAAAAAAATATAAAGAGCATCCGCGCAGTCTGATCAGGATCCATGCAGTTCGCTTACAAACCCTATTACAAGTAGAGAAACTGATAGAGAACAGCATGGATCCTGATCAGACTGTGCGGAGGCACAGGCTGGTCTGGATCCATGCTGGTCACAAACCCATTATGTTGGTTTTGTCATGGCACAGCTCATATTGAACTTATAACATAAAACAACAAAAATTTTTCTCTCTCTTTTTTAAATGTTTCAATACCTGCAGAAAATCATCAGCTGAATACAGTTATTTTAAAACCTTGTCATAAATGCATTCAAATAAAACTTAACACAGAAAATATACATCCATTATCCCTTATCCTACTGAATTTCACTATTGGATTGAACTGTTTTGAATTTGGAACCCTCCATTTGAAGTTTGTTTTGTTGGGTTTTAAGTAATATCAACACTGTATTAAAAGTCATACAGCCACTTTCAAGCTTTAGTGCTGGAGGAAGACTCCAGGTGCCCCTCTGTGCATTATTTCAGGCACAAAAAGGCACCTGAATAGACCCAATGACATTCTATATGCTAGCTGGATAGCTTTCTTACATGAAAGATTGAAAAGTTCCCTGGATGGATTCAAAACACATTTTCAAGTTTTATTGTTTAAAATCGGATTTCAGTATCAAAACAAAAATATCGAGGTTGCAACATTTTAGAGCCAGATAAGGCTGTATGGAGGTGCAGGCTAGCTTAACACTATGTGTACGGTGACATTACAGTAGGGCAAAAGTTAATATACAATAAAATACACTACAAGGAAAAACAAAATTGATAAGCCCTTGTTATTGAGAGAAATAAAAATGTTTATAATAAACATGATCATTTTTTTAACATCATTGATCAATACTTCTGAATAATTCATATATATAACCATTCTAATTAAGTTCACAGTATTCATTAGCTATTGATCAAAAGCAATGTGAATTTTTTTATATTTAATTTTTCAAATCAAAGGTAAAAATTGCATACTACATTCTGTTTTAATGTTGAGTGATGACTTACCAAAATAAAAAAAAAATTAAAAATCCTGTTTTAAAGAGAGGAAAATGTAAAATATTGTGTAATATTTGTCACTATATGATAAAATAATGTATCAGAAAGTAAGATTAAATGTGAAATATTTAATGTTTCATGAAATGAATGGCTACAGCTTATGAAATTGAATGTCAGTGTCTCTTTGGCCCAGTTGTTAAGATGCCTAGTGAACATGGCAGTGGGTTCAAATTTTGCTAAATTTATGCAGCGGGCCAACTGAAGGTCTGGGATGCTACAAGGTTGGGCATCTGGGGTCATCCTTCACCAGTAAAATTTGGAAAGTTGCCATATGACCTTGACCTTTACCTGTGAGACTTTAAACCCAAGCAAACTCCCCATTCAATCCCCACCCCCACCCCATAAGAAAGAAAATAATTAATCTATGGATTTTAAAAAAAAAGACTCCTACCATGTGAGGTCTCTGCCTTCATTCTTCTAGAGTCAGCCAGAAAATGTGGACTCATCAGTGCTGGATGATACCTATCTCGTGGGTCCAAATGATCCATAGTAGTGGACGTGGGACTCTGATTCATCGAGACTGCAGTCGGTGGCATCATTGACTGGACTGGCATGTAGTTACCGACAGAAATCATACACGTTTGGTCCTCTACCTTCGGCACTGTTCTCTCTATAGAATCCCTGCATAAAGATGTCAAGAAATTTTCATCTTCCATTATCTCAGAACAAGATTTTAATTGCATCAATGCAATATTAACTGTTTCTTAATAGTGAATCCTATTTAAGTTCCAGAAAGTAATGCTTTCATTGTTCTATATGACACATGTACAGAAACCATTGAAAATTGTGTGTTTGAAAAGTTAATATTGTCACCACAAAGTCATCTAAGATTCTTTGCAGCAACTGTCTCTAAAAGAGACTCTTTATTATTAACATCAGATTTGAAATAAGAAACTTTTCAATTTAAACAGTGTAATTATTAAGTATCCATTCAAATCAATTGAAATACATAAAATTCTGATACTCCTGAATCGTTTGTCTTAATGTATTAAAATAGCTTTTCTTTACTGAGGTTTTTTCTAATATATAATATATATTACATATAAATGTGGGCCTAATGCTAGCCTTTAATAACAACAAATTTTAATATAAAATCAATAAAGGGTTTATCTGTCTATGATGCAAAATATTGTAATGTTGTTTTAGGAATCCATTAACTATTTCACATGTTATTGATATAACAATTTTCTTTCTCAATTACTAAGGCTGAAAAGCTCATTGCTAAAAAGCAAAGCAAATCTTTTACTCATATCACCTGACAGTCTGTTCCAAAGTTTTGCCCATTTCATGTAAATTTCACAAAACTAATAAATCATTTTGAACGTTTAACACCAATGGCTATAGTTCTAAAATCAGAGGAGGATCTATCTAACCCTAACCCTGCTTGTGATTGCCTTTTTCCACCCGTACATAACCAGGCCAGCCAGCAAATCTGAGCATTCTGGACAGGCTCTTAACTGTTGGTAGCTCAATTTTAGTGTTTTGATATTGAAATCCCTACAACTTTGAATAGACTGTGCCAAAATGAATAATCTGTAATACCATGAATCCAGCAGGTGAGTGGATACATGTAAAATTGCACTTCTATAAATATTTATGTCCATCTATAACATAAAGACACCAAAATCCAGCTGATATTATAAAATAACAATCAAAAACAACACACACAGACCTCATCCTTACTAATAATATGAGCAGCTGACAAGTTTGTATTTTCCACTATCCTATCCGATACAGTTTGCATGCATATATAAACCATTTTCTACCTTTGATCCTTTAGATGTCTTTTGAAATTACACTTTTCTAAGTACTGGCTGATGTTTTCTGAGAAATGCATTAATATATCAATACTTTAATGAAGAGAGATTGTTTTCCTTTAATATTAATCATTTTAAAGCCTAGTACTTGTACAGGCTGTTTCCCCTTGCCCATAAAATTCCCTGTAACCCTTAAATGCTACTATGCATAATTGTTACCAGACCCCTGACTTAACAGCAGCTGCCTTTGATCAGCATGTTGATAGCTATTAAAAGATGACTGAAAGACAAAAACGTTGTCAATCAGAATCTCCTCAGCTCAGTCTGCTGCATACCTGTGCATTTAAATTTAAAATTTGATTGAATGTGTGGACATCATTATTTTACATTCTCAGTTTTTGATGTTTGATTTCGGATTTTCCCCTTTTCTTTATTTTAAATATTATGCTATATATATCGTCTACCTATGAAAGTCACTGTATGTCTTAAAAATATTAAAAAATTACACTGTTGAAGTTGCCACAACATTTGCACTGAAACGGAATACCCCTGTCACAGCATGCATAAAACATGCACCCTTATTGGAACTTGAACCTGCAACCCGTTTTATTTTGACTTCTTCTGTTTCTATAATAACTTAGTAACATTCAGGTGCTTTTAAAAGCTACTTTGGGGCCTTAATTCTTTCCAAAAAGTACATATTTTTCGATTTTTCTGAAAAAAAAAAGTCACATCAACCAGTCAAATTAATTATTTTTTTAGATCATTTTACCAAACATTGTTTTGTTTGTTTCATTTTACGCCTTTTCCCAACAGTATTTCAGTCATATAGGCGGGTAGTTTCCTAACCATCATTCCTGGAGAGTTACACCAGTACTAGACTACCTTCCTCCGTGCTAAACTACCAAAGCATCTCCCGGGAATCGAACCCACGCCAGAGAGGTAACTGGATTAGAAGTCATTGACTCTAACCCCTCGACCACGGAGGCGGTCACAAAAATTATTTTAACAATGCATCTAATATCATATATCATGTTATATACATAAATACTTTTACATGTATACAAAGCAATATATACTTTTATGCAAAGCAATATCTCATTATCTGTACATATTTGCCAGTTACATAATCATATCAGCATTGTAAATGAATGTGTGTAATATTAATACTCATAGCACTTTAAACAGCAAATTTTTCCTACCCAACAAAAGAAGCCTCATTTTGGTCCTGAAGGAGTTTCAACACAGAAGCATTAGAACTCAAATGAGGTGAGAAACTGTCACAATCATACTCTGTTTTGATTTCAATAAAATTCCTTCCAATGTTGAAGGAAGCCTCAGACACTTCATTATAATTGTTATACATTATAACTTCCACTATTTTATCAATAAACACCTAAATAAATCAAGTTGCAACAATGCATACATTTATCTGCACTATACTGCAACATAGTGATCAAATTTTACACTAAAACATTTCATTGCAACTTTAAATCCAATATAATTATATAGATGATCTAAACCACTTTTCACATGTTTTCAACTTTGAAAATCCTCTACAGCAGTAATATGTTCTCTTCTTTGTTATAAATGCTGCAGATATTTATAGATCCCAGATATCCATCATAGATTACACATATACAATTACATATAAACTTTTGATGACCAATAAACACACATAACCACCACTATTACATGGTGTAATATTCATTATTAAATGGCTTTGTTAAGCTGATAATCATCCAAGTAATAATCTAATTGAATCAATGCAATAGAGAAAGATTCTGTACAGAAGGCACATGCTATTTTTGAATGTGCAGATATAATTAGCTCAGAGTTTTGTATTAGCCAATGGTTAGTGGCCGAAATGCATGACTGAACTGCATGAAATGACCAATGCCCTATATACCCTTATCAATATATTGATGCCCAGTTTACAAGATTTAACATATATTTCTTCTTCCTGGCAGTCTACCATTCAAATAACACTTTCAAAATCTGGAGCAAATAATGAGCAGAAAACCTGACAGAATTTTTTTTCTGACTAATTACTTGGATTCCACACAAGTTTATATATTCATAAAAGGAAAACAACATCTCTGAATTCCTTGGTTCTTTATCAGAAGGCAAGAACAGAAAGAACTATACCTTTGAATGACAATGATGTCCATCAATACACATCATCACCCTTTAAAAGCATTTTAATTCAAATAGTGTAAGATCTAAGCACTATACAGTATACATATAATTTTTTGTTGTTCAATGATGACCAAAAATTTGTCTATAAATAAAATTAACTTTGATGTTAAACAAATTTCTTCTGTAACAAACATCTACCGGTAACTGGATCTAGGGTCTTACAAAAAGTGTAACAAATCATAGAAATGCTCAAATAGTGTTGAAACTTGAATCAAGGCCAGGGACCAGGTCTGGATCTCAGACACCCTACTTGGTCAAGATTTATATGTCAGTCTTGAATTTAACTAAAATATCTTAATACATGACCAATCAAAGTTAATCTTCAATTACAACCTTTCTTATGTGTTTAAAATTGTTTCAAATTTGGATTTTGAAACATAAGCATGTCAAATTTACATGCAATTAATGAAAGTATCCCATCTAAAACTTAACATATACATGGAGTGCTACTAAAACTTAACATTTAGTTTGAACTTGGAAAATACTTATCTTGCAAAAACCACATGATTTATTTGCATTAGGGACAGAAAAACTGGATGTAAATTGAATTTTTGGGTAGACATGCATAATTAGCACAGACATTAAAATATTTACGTTTATTCATGCCCATGATACTTTATGAACACTTTTAGCACGGTATAATATTCTGAAAGGTCATATGCTGGCCAATGGTCAAGTAATCTCGACTGCTGGTCAGTTTGCTTTTACTGATTACAAACTTTTGACCCCATGTATTACCGATTGCTGTGTATAATGGGAGACGATCTACATTTCATGAATTTAATGAGCGTCTATCAAACGAAGACACAGATCAGATATATTTGAAATGATATTTATGCTCACATCATATGCGCAAGAGCACAGTCGTCTATTTCAAGCAGAATGTAGACTGATTATCGAAATAACCACCATTTGCTTCTCTGATCTCTCTCACTTTTTTTGACCAAAGCAGACATGACTGTCAAAGGGAGACAACTGGAGGAAACTTGTTTATAACGCGACAAACTGGAAAATTCACGGTTCAATTTGATGCTCTAAAATATTGCACATGAAGTAATGAATTTCTTTATTTTTTCTGGCGATGGAACTAAATATAGTATATATTGTATGTATATATGTGTTCTGGCAAAAGTCATGTTAAATTTATATAAATATATCCAGAACTATTCATATTTATAAATTAGCTAGCAAACTTGTAAGGAGTTTTTACGCAATGTTGAATCCACTATTATAATTATTTTCAATTAAACAGAGAGAACAATATATAATTATTATATAGAGGGATGCCATTTCTTTTGCCTTTCCAGATAACTGTTTAAATACTGATTTCTTAAGACTCTCTTACAGACGGAGGAAGACAATGCAGTCATTCAGGCTTATTTGAGTCGTATCATGAGATGGAAAACCGTGTATATATACTGTAGCTCTATATGTGCTATTTTAAAATATATAATTTGAAACTCCATGGCTAAAGATGTACATATAGATGAAATTCATGCGTCTGTGTAGTGCAGAATAAAATCTCTAATAAATTATAATATAAATTCAAAGAACTATACCTTTGTTGATGCTCGAATCTTTGGTATCCACTAGCGACTCCATTAAGACCTGCGCGGTTGATGAAGCCATTTGGGTATCGAGCAGGCACAGCCTGAACTATATTTTCCTTTTCACAATGAGGGGGCGTTATGCGCTGGCCCTCGGCACCGCTTTCCGACAGAAGTCCAACTATCCGACGATGTGTGTCTAAATAATGCTGACTTCTCTCAAATGTTAATTCCTTATTTTGCCGCAACGCCCATTCACGATAAGCGTTTTGTAGCCTTTCTGTATCACGTGTGTTTGAAAACTGTTCAAAGAGTCTATGATTGAGGAGTTTCCCAGTCATTTCTGCTTTCTTTGATAAGTCGTGGGGCTCAGTTTCGTATGCCTGTGTCGCGCACGTGCTAAAAGAGTTTTTCTGTCCTTGTGCCAGACTAGCCATTGAGGCAATAGCCTTTTGAGACGATTTACCACCATAAATAATGGACTGTGCCGCACTGCTTGCCAGCGCTGATGCCACTAAAGTGTCTATTAATCGTCCTTGATCATGCGTTATCTTCGGCCGCGGGGGCGAGCTTGGCTCGAATGAACCCTCGTTTTCAACACGATCATACATTTCATGATTTTCTTGTCTCGGTGAAATACATTCGCTTTTAATCCCAGTTTCCCGCCTTTTTTCCAACTGGAGCCTTAAATGATCCTGATATGCAGTAAACGCACCTACTTTAACACCCGCTTCCCGGGCAGATATCGTATCTTGTTCCGGACTACCCGGGACCTTTTGCTCATCTAAGCTCGTCTTTCGGAATAATTTCTGAAATAAACTTTCTTGGCCTTCTTTAGCAGTCGATTTAAAATGTTCCTCGGAACTAACGTGTCCGTTATTTGGCACAAAGACCTCGCCATCCGACCCTTCTTCGATGGATTCTGTAGGACTGTGACCTTCAGAGTCCATTTGAAAGCGACTGGTATCTTTGGCATTAAGCCGCTCATCTTCAGACAAAAACTGTTCGAGAGATGTCCGACCAACCTTTGGCTTCTTAGGTGGAGGCATCTTTAAGGTAGAAGAATGGTATGCTCAAAACAGTTCATATAGTCTCTTTCAGATCTGAAATGATAGTGATATATACATGTATATGCTTTGTACTAAAAGCAAAGGGGCGCAAATCTGTAATCCTTTGTAATTTTTAAAAATCATAAAATACATCAGTTAGTTCCCTTTTATTAGAAATTTACACTGATCTCGTACATCATATAATTTCACAACACACAAGTATTTAAACTGTCGACAAAAGGCAATCCCGTTGTACACTGCTCTTGGCACGTCACATAGAAACAGTTTAAACGGATATCATCCCATTTTATTATTCTAAAAGAAAAACTTTCAAAAAATGATTTAAGGATAGCACTTTTTTCTATTTTTATCTAAGCTCATCTTTGGTCAAATATTTCTCTTGCAGTATTAATATGTCTATTTTTAATTAGAGAATATACATCATGTTTTGGGTTAGTTTGGTCCTTTTAAATATCAAATTTAAACATATCATACATTTTTTTAAACTTTTTTCTTACATTCATGCGCAATTTACATAACTGTATGTCGGTAAAATACCATTCTGCAAAATATCAATTAACAACTTACTCCCAAAATATCAATTAACAACTTACTCACAAACGTCAAAGTGATAATACTAATTGTATATTTGTGACAATTATCAGAGTCTTGACAAAGTATTTCCTATTTCCTACATAATTTATCCCCGCTTTCAAGTGAAAACAGACGCAGGATACCATCTCAAGAAAACAATATAAACCCAATTTTTTTAAATGACAGTTGTTTCGACTTTCACTCAAACTTATGATAACCATAACGATTTCTACCAGATTCTGTTTAAAGTATCATAGTATCTATATTTATATTATATATTCGTTTTCCAAGATACAATATCAATATTAAACTCATTTTCAAATTGAAAAACAAACGAACGAGCGGGCGAGCGAACGAACGAACGAACGAATTTAACATGCATTACTATTATGCTTTTTTGGTTTTCTTTATGTAAACAGCCAGCTGAACTGGGTCCACTTTTAATTCTGACTAAGTTTTACAAAATGTGCCACAAAACAAACCATCGTGACGTTTCTTTGAAGTTATTCTTTTTTTTGAACCGCGACATTTAAAAAAAATTATACTTCATTTTTAAAAGGAACCATTGCAAAGTTATACAAATATGAGATTGCAATGCACAGTTTCCAAGTTAATTTATTAAAAATTAAAACGACTGATTTTACTTGAACATTTTATTTCTTCTAATAAGGATTAATAATAATAATAATAATAATAATAATAATAATAATAATAATAATTACAACGAAAACAACAACAACAAAAACAAGGGCAATATAAAAACTCTTCACCAAAACATTCACACATTTGTAGCCTTAACCAACTCGCGCTAATATTCCGAATAAAAAAAACTGTTTTTCTAAAATAAAAAAAGAACATTTCTAGACATTTCTAGTTTTTGTCCCTTTTCTTTTTTGTCATAGCGTATATTTTTCTTATTTTGCTTGTAAATATGTACGTTCGTATGTATATAATCGTGTGTCTACTGAAATATATCAATCCATAAAATGTTATGCAACATGAAAAATGCAAGCACGCATTAAATTGATTGTGTAAAAAACGTATATGTTCTACTAATACAATTATTATATTGTTGTGATATCATGTTGTATATTATATTGTGTACTAATATAAACATATTTTCAACATACATTGTATTTTTTCTCTTCAAGCTTGTAGATTATACTGTTTTAAAAGCATTAAACACTTGTTTAAAGTGGCATTATGTGCACCAAGTGTTAATGGTCAGTGAAAAGGTAAAAATAAATATAACCACCATTTTGTCATAATTGTATTATTTTCTTACAATGAAAATATAACCAAAAATGCACCTTATTAACGGGGAATTCTATAAATTTCATTCAGAATGCATTGGTAACATCCAGTTCTTAAAAGAGTGGGGTAATATTTTTATAATTTATGTAGTTTTTTTTTATTGAATCATAAACAATTTGCATTATCAATGCATTTGTCAATCACCATAATAATTGCCATTTTTTTTTAAATATATAACTTATTCAAATAACAGCGACAAAAAACAACACAAAACACATTTTAATAACCTGTTTAAAGCTTAATAATATTATACTCATATAGCGCTAAATTTTAGAACATTTTCAATTAGAAAAAAGTTTAAATGATGAAAAACATGACATTCATAGTAAAAGATTTGTATTTTAAAATTTCCTACTTAGACATGCTTGTAACTAAAAGCGCTTTAAAAAATAATTAAGTAAGTTTCATTTCATAATTTAATTACGCCTATAAGTACATCACTATGTTGAGATAAATAAATAAATAAATAAATAAATAAATAAAATTAATAAAAATAAAATAAAATAAAATAAAATAAATAAATAACAAATTATTGGTATATGCATTTATGAAATAACCAACTTATTTTCAATTACGACGTTTACAATACTCACAGTGATATGCAATCCGCCTTTAAATTTCAGATATCTCTAAGGTAGTGTGTCTATAACTTATTATCACAGACTGGACAAGAACTGGACATTTTGCGGTAATATTATGCACCCAAAATGTCACTGACATGTCATTTAAAATTGCGTTCATTGAAGACTTTTCTATTCTATCTATAAAACCAGTATGACCGCCATTTGAACTTGTCGTGTTACCTTAAATGAACTCGCTATTTTATCCTGAAACGACCCTCACTTGTATTGCGCATGCGCTGCGTATTAATCTATACATTGTTTTTTTTTCTCTCTCACAGGCGGCTCGCTGTTAATCGATTAACCCATTTGTGCCGGAATTTTATTTTTATATAAGAAAGGTATAAAACATATAGTAACCATATAGTTATAACATATATCCGTTTATTTTTCAAATATAAGTACTGTGTTTTTTATTTTAGTGTTTTAATATTTTGTCTACAAAAGTAGACAACAGGCGCAAATGGGTATATGTAAAACACATATAGAATATATGTCCAGATAACCTATTGTTGGTTTATTTGATAACTTTTACTTGAAAAAATCCTTAAAGTTTATACAGGCAATGTTTTCTATTACTTTTCCTACAAAAGTAGACATTAGGCACAGAAATGTTCACTCTGAAATTCATTCTGAATATGAATTATTATTGTTCATGTCTTTTGGCTTTGATCGTATGAATACCTAAACACTGTGAAACATTTCAAAGCATTTCCTGTGCACTCCAACATTACATTTGGAACATTGTGTCCTGCATTTTTTTCCACACAATGAACAGCGCACTTCTTTTGCTGGCTCTGCGTAATGATTTTTACCATCAAGTCGATTATGGTCTGGAATTCTTCTTGACAATGGCCTCATCCTACCTCTTGGTCTGCCAGGGCTGACAGCAGGTGTACGCCCCTGAGCAAGCAGCACAGTAACCAGAGCTCGTCTGACACCTAACAGATCTAATGGTTGCCTCAATCCTGCATCAGTAGCACGGTAAATGTGCCAGGTTTGCTGCACCGCAAGGTCAATGCAATACATAAACACTGGCCACCACCACTTCTTGGATCTGATAGAGATACGATACTTCTCAACATTTTGATCCATCCTGTCTTCACCTCCCATTGTCTGGTTGTAATGCTTTATAAGGTATGGCTGCAGAAGGCGCACCCTAGCTTTTGCCTGCTTTGACCACCGTGTTGCTTGTTGCAATGGTTCAACTCCATGGCAATTTGACACCACATTCACTATATTGTTGTCATTCCACCTCACCACTATCAGACCTTTGTGTGCGTCATACCTTTTATCATAGTTTCCTCGTTGCGGTTTTCCCATGTCTTTTACATTTTTGACAGGACAATCTTCTATTCGGTTGGCACGGATGGTTCCTGTGCAAGATATTCCCATATCTGTAAGCCGGTCCACGAGCTTCAGGGAAGTAAATAGATTATCAAAAGTCAGATGGTATGCATCATCTTTCTGCAGCTCTGAAAGCAGGTCCATAACTACTGCTCCGCCCATTCCAAGGAAGCCAGGATCATGGGTTTGGTGGCCTTTTGCCCCTTGATAGGGCTCAAATTGTAAAACATATCCAAGTGCTGTCGTTAAAGCCCACATCTTATAACCGAACCTAATTGGTTTCCCACGAATAAACTGTTTCGCTCCGTGTCGCCCATAGTACGGGATCATGCTTTCGTCGATTGAAAGGTTTTTTCTCTTTCAAGAAGTATAACAAGAAGCGCTCATTCAGCAGACATAGCAGTGGTCTTACTTTGCTAAACTTGTCCTCTCTGTCAAGATTGTTGTTATCGCAAAGATGTACATATCGCACCAATATGTCGAATCTGTCTCGCGGCATTGTACGAGCTATTGCCTCATTCCTTACGTCATCATCCCGGCTCCAGAACTGTCTCCGTCTTGGCACAGTGTTATAGCCTGATATAAGCAGAATTGCTAGGAAGATCCTAATTTCTTGGGGTGAAGTTGAAAACAAATGGTTGCCTTTTGAACCAGCATATCTTAAACTCTGTTCAACAATCATGTTGATCACGTCATCATCAAAAAATAAGTTGAAGATGCCATCTGGTGTTTGCGGCCATCGACTTTTGTCTATATTTGAGCCATGCCAAGTGAATCTGTCTTTATCTTGCTCAGGTAGATCTTTATTTTCCCACTTCCTCTTTACTGGTGCAGGTCGTTTGGGACGCGGAGCTGGATCCCGCAGTGCAATTCTTACTTGAGGTCTTTTTGCAATATTTGCAGGCACTTCGTATTCATCTGTATCAGAAGAATCTGAAGAATGGTCAGTTTCCTGAAAAATAAAATATGATAAATATAAAAAATCTTATTCTCAACTGGATTTACTGTACATTATTTACTTACTTGCTTCGTATTTATTTATTTATCTATTTATTATTTATTTATTTTATTTATTTATTACTAACTAGATCGGAGTCTGATGCTGAATCAACAACATGACGTCCATCTAGGCGAATAACTGTCGCTGTTGAGTGTTGGTCTAACTGACGTCCACTGAGGTTGTTGTAACCTACTTCTTCATCTTCACTTGCACTATCTTCATCTGTCAGTTCATCTACAGGAGGTGGTTGAACATGTATATCTGCCCTTTCAAAGTTACCTTCATCCTCAAGCATTGATATGATTTCATTTACTGTGTATCTTCTGTAAACAACAAAATATTTTCATAATGATAAAACGTACCCATTTGATCCTATTGTCTACTTTTGTAGACAAAATCTAAATTGACTGTCATAACACATTTTATACATATTTCTGAATTATAAAACAGGAATTGAGCAGAAATATAATTATACAATATAAAACAATCATACTTTATGATATAAAATAAAAACAATATAAAGTTTTACATACCTGTTTCTGCTAGCCATTTTCAATAATATTTTCAAGGCAATTTTTATCACATTTTTGTTGAAAACACACTGCAAATAACGTAGTGGTCTGCATTTTGTCTAGCAAAATAGTCCAATTAACGCTTATCATGACAACAAGTATAGAATAACAATGATAAACAAATGTGCGCTCATAATTAGGTCCTAGTGTACTGATAACTGCTAGTGTCTACAAAAGTAGACGACAGGCGCAAATGGGTTAAGCTTTCGGTAAAGAAACCTATCAACATTTTACTTAAATATAACACAAAGTTATTGGAATATTTCCGAATATATGTTTCATTTTCGAAAACTATCAAGTGATGGCTAAACACAACTATCAAGTGATGGCTAAACACAGTATATTTTGATTGTACACGGCTACTGTAAAATTATTCATTATTTTTATTTTGAGCGAATTAAACAAGTAGGAATCAATAGTTCATGGGAGGTTATATTTAGTTAGTCAAGCCAGGTCAAGTCTAGTCAAAGCAAGTCAAACCAAATCAAGTCCAGTCAAAGTAAAAGTCAAGTCAAGTCAAGTAAGGTATAGTAAGTAAGTAAGTATGTAAGTAAGTAAGTATGTTAGTTAGTTAGTTAGTTAGTTAGTTAGTTAGTTATTTTGTTATTTATTTATTTATTTAGTTAATTAGTTAGTTAGTTAGTCGCGTGGGTTCAAACCCGTGAGCAAGAAGGTTCCTGGAACGGATTCGAGAGTGTTTCAATAAGCTTTAAGCTTACAACATACGAACATTCAACAAAAATAAATTCGTATCAACTAATAATATTTCTGATAATATTTCTGTCTTTTTCTTTTTCAGTCTTTTATCTCCACTTTGATAAGAAATTGTCGCGTATTTCCTTAAAGAACACAATGATTTCGAAACCGGAAATGTCGTATAATTTTATAATTGTTTCACTTTACAATTGCATTAAATTATTGAGAAAGCTTGATACGTATATTAAAATGTAGAGGATACAAAGAATTAACGACTGGAATTAGAAACACGACACGAGTTTATAAAATAAACAAGTTCATAAAAAAAAAAACAGTTCATATAAAAAAGACAATTCAAATGAGAAAGACAGTTAATATAAGAAAAACAGTTCATAAAAGAAAACAGAGGTCATGTAAGAAAAAAAACAGTTCATAGTTCATATAAGACAAACATAAATAAGAAAAATAGTTTATATGAAAGAAACAGAGTATAAAAGAAAAACGAGTTTATAAAAGAAAAACAGTTCATATGAGAAAAACAATTCATATGAGAAAAACGGGTTTATATAAGAAAAAAAAAACGAGTAAATATAAGAAAATCGTATACAAGAAAAACAGTTCATATCAGAAAAGCGACTTTATATTAGTAAAACAGGTTCATAGAAGAAAAACGAGTTCGTACAAGCAACTTCAGCGTTTATAGAAGGAAAAAACGTTTATATAACATAAACGTACTTAAATTTTAATAAATTAACTTATCACACACCCGTGCCGATTTTGCGACTCCGTAAAAATGGTATTGCACGGCCGTGCATATATTTTGACGTGACGTCATTAGCGTTATATAAACATAGTGTAAAGACGCGCTAAATGTTAGCGTTACAATATAGGCGCGTCAATGAAAAACGACTCTTATTTCACTTTAAACGGTATTTATTTTGGGTATGTGATAAATAGAATATTAAATTCGTGTAAGTTCATTACTAAATTTATTGCACTCGTTGAATAAAGTAATATTATGCTCGCCAGAGGCTCGCATAATATAATTTTATTCAACTCGTGCAATAAATTCAGTATTGAACTTACACTCATTCAATATCCTCTATATAAGAAAAGCGTCAGAGTTTATAAAAACCGAATTTTCAAAAGAAAAAAAAAACAAAAACACGAGAAAAAACGTTTGAGTTCATAAAATGAAGACTTTATATAAAAATAAACGGGTTCATTAAGATAAAACGTGTTCATATTAGAAAAAAGCTCAAGATTATACAGGGGCATATAAAATACATGAATTCATAAATAGACAAAAATAGATAATTCCGAGATAGTGAATATAAAAAAGTTTAGGTCTAGAGTTTCCATAACAGCTCGTAATTTTCTATTCTTTTTTTTTGTATTTTTTGTTGTTTTTTTTTATTGTAATTATATTGCGTATACAATGTATTTGTTTGATTGAAATGAAATATTGTCTAAACTTAACATGTTTAGGAATAGTAAAACATCGAGATTTAAAGCATAAACATTTTTATATGAGTTTATAATAGAATGAAACTCCTGATATAGTTATACATAAACAAAGTTATTATGCACTTGGTATAACAAAACAAACGTGTGAGTTAATGTTTAATTATGAACTATATAACAAAAAATGCGCGATCTTTAAATATAGACAGTTTTTTACAAGTTTATGAAACTGCAAATAGTATAAGTTTGAGACTATAATTGTATCTATATGTGTTCTAAGAGAAAAAAAAGATTTATTAAAACATAGAAAGTTTATATAGAAGTAAATGTACAAATAAAGAACAGAATGCATACAGTATGGTTGTAAACAAAAAAAAATTATATTTTCATGAAAACACCCTGCTTTAAGCTATATATATCTGCTAAAAAATATTGTCTGAATAATAATAAAAATGATAATAATAACAATAATAATAATAATACAATAAACTTTTAAAAAATGCTTGTATGAAAAAAAAAAAGATAGTAAATTGCCTTAAAAAACGAACAGCGCATGCACAAAATCATTGATAATAAAATTATGATAATATATTTCTTAAAATAGAAGAAAAGTATTTTATTCCGAAAGATTTTAATTTTGTCTATTTATAATAATTGAGCCGCGCCATGACAAAACAAACATAATGGGTTTGCGACCAGCATGGATCCAGACCTGCCTGCGCATCCGCGCAGTCTGATCAGGGTCCATGCTGTTCGCTATCAGTTTAATTACTTGTTACAGGGTTTGTAAGCGAACAGCATGGATCCTGATCAGACTGAGCTCGAGCTTAGATCTCAAGTATTTGATTGTTCAGAAACTTCCACAAGATGCCACGGGCCAATGAAAATTCTGAGATTTGAGACAGAACTCGGAAAAAATGTTTTATAACCTCAAGGCGTCGTGTCTATGGTACCTTGTTTGCATTGTCAGCCATTTTCTCAAATATACAGGACAAAAATCCTCCCCATATAGTGATGTAGTATACATAGTACTTTAGTACTGAACACGCAGGCCATTATAATGGGTAAATGACGCCCACCGGTCTATGCCAAAACTGTTTTTGATTATGAAAACACATCCAGTCAGCTGACAGACGATTTTATTTATTCTTAATTAAGACATGTATATACACGCAGCAACAGCACTGTCATTTCGAGTGGAAGCGCATTATTACATAAAATAACTCTTAGTATCAACATTTGAACAAAAAGGCACATTAAACTGTCCACGTTTACAGTACATCATCATCATTATCAACAGAATGGAATATTTCTATGCGGTTCAGTTGGCGATTGCATTTCGTGACGTAAAGGTAAAACAACAACAAGAAAGAAACTACTAACGGTTCGCCTGGAGAAGAAAAATCCTAAAACTCACCATTTATATGAATACGAGATATATCCGTCAAATAATAGCTTACATAAGTAGCACTGTCAATTCTTTTTTGCTATTAGTTGATTACTCCTTTTTCTCAAACTTAAAATCC